TATATATATATATATATATATATATATATATATATATATATATATATATATGTATGTATGAAAAATATATCAAAAGTGCATGTGGGTACTCAAATGAAAGCTCTTGAAGAGTGTAACATCGGGATGAGCTTATATCTGTAAAAATTATATTAGTTCACAAAATACAAGGTCATTTCTTAATTATGACTTTTACAATGACCCTAAATTTCACTAAAAAAACCGATTCTATCATATGACTATCTTGCACACACAATTTTTTTTATCCTGAAGAAGAAATCTTTTGCCCTACTAAATTATTCCAATATTTTATCAGTAAAAATACATTTTAATTTATAATTTCTTACTAAAATTTAGACTAAAAAAATATCACCAACTGAAGAAATAAAATTATTAAAGATAAATAACTTTCAAAAATAATAATATAAAAATCTAAGATTAGATGGTACTTATTTTTCTCCATACTTTCCAGACGTTGAAATAAAACAAATAAAAATACGGTAGGATATGAAACTAGTTTAAGCCCACGTAAATATTTAGCAATGTAGAAATCGATAAATTAAATCAATAAAAACATACAAAAGTATGAATGATATTTCATACTGTTATTTCTTCAGCTAAGTCCTAGAATGTCCAGTAAGTAACAAGTGTGACTAACTTTAACGAGGAATAAGACCTTCATAGAATACCAGAAGCTTAAAATTCTATTTTGTCGACTTATGATTATGCGACCCTGCAGTGAATGAAGCGTTCGGTCGGAAGTACACCAGTAGTGTGTATATTAATAACTCTCCGTGGCACCATTGCACTCGGCTTGGTTGTTATTTTTGACCGAGCCGAATAACATGTAACCTAATTCCATCTAGGATAGGCGACAATACAAATAATAAAAAAAAACAGAGTAATCGTGATCTTCAACAAGACAAGACGTACCACTCAACTTCAACAACCACTAAGCCATTTATAAAATTAAAAAAAAAATATTAATTAAATTAAAAAAAAAATTAATTAAATTTCTTTAAAAAAAATTTATTATTAAAATTTTTTTTTTTTTATTTTTTTAACTTTTTAAAAAAAATTTATTAAATTAAAAAAAAAATTTATTAAATTTTTTAAGGAAAATTTAATTTAAATTAAAAAAAAAAAAATTTATTAAATTTTTTAAGAAAAAAATTTATTTAATTAAAAAAAAAAATTAATTATTGAATTAAAAAAAAAAAAACAATTTATTAATAAAAAAATAAAAATTTATTATTAAATAATTATAAATAAAATTACCTTTAACGTCAAGTTGCGTAGTACAAGTTGCTTTGCCCTTAGTATTCTCAGCAACACATGATATAAAGCCCACGTGCTCTTGATTTGTTTCCGGTATCGTTAGAACTTGTCTGTCACCACTAACAGACACTAAAAAACTTTTACCGTGCACAGGTTTCTCGTTGAACATCCATTGGATCTAAAAAAAAGCCAGCATAGCTTGAGTTTATTAATAATATAAAAAATTAAACAAAACTTTAAAAGAAGAAATAATGATATGACAGTAACTGTCAAGAGTGCAGCTGTTTCTGCTGTAATTAAACAAACTTACAACAAATACTGTAAAAATTATAAGCACTACTAGCCACATGTTTCTAACAAACCACCAAACACAACACTAAGCCTTGATGCCAGAGATACATACAAAGAATCAATTCGGTTAGGAATACGGGATAAGGGAGCACAAGTACTGTATGTTAGTTTCATTATAACAAGTTGGCATCCGACAAATCTAGAGTGAGAGTTCGAGATCCACATCAGAGCCAAACCATCAAGTCTTTTCGTTCTTGATGACAAATTAATTACTTTGAAAGCCATCCAAAAAAATTTTTTATTTTTTATTTAATGTAATATTTTAATAAAAGTGATCATTAATCATTACCTTGGGAGTGGGCTTCCCGTGAACAATGCACTCAAATTTAGTAGACACTCCTTGAAGAACAACGCGCTTGTCTTCAAAACTTTCTTCAAAGGAAGGAGCTAGTAATTTTTCCTCCATAGGTATCAATTCTTCTCGTTTGAAAGATTCATTGCTGGCTGGCTTGACTACCAGCCTGGCTATCGCTTTGGCCTCACCAATCAAATTTATGGCTTTGGCCACGTAATTTCCTTTATCTTCAGCAGTAGTCGAGCATATTTTCAGCGTACAATTACCCGTTTTATCGTGTGTCATTGTTATTCTTTCGTGTACAAATACTATCTCTTCATTGTTGAAGTACCAACGCAAATCGGGCTTGGGTTCTCCGGTTACTTGACACTCAAAAACGGCATCTTCACCTTCAGATACCAAAACGTCGGCTATTAATTTTACGAACTGGGGCGCAGTACTTACTGTTGACTGTTTGGCAGCTTCCGAAGACGCTAGATTAGGTTGAAAAATTAATATTGATTGGTGTAATTAATAATATTCATTTTGAGGGATTATGCGCTTCTCAAAGGCTGAATTTTCAATAATTTTTTATTGATTAATTGAAACAATTATAAATAATCAATAAAAAAAATTATTTTGATGAAAATTTGATTCTTAAATTATTTCTAAAAATGTAAAAAATTTATTGGAATTATTAATTTTAAAAAAATTATTAAATAATGACTTTTGTTAAATTGCACTGTACTTTCTTAACTAATGACATTTTTTAAGATATAAGCTCATCTCGATGTTACACTCATCAAGAGCTTTCATTTGAGTACCCACATGCATTTTTTATATATATTTCATATATATATAATATATATAAATATATAAAATATATGAAAAATTGATGTGGGTACTCAAATGGAAGGTCTTGATGAGTGTAACATCAGGATGAGCTTATACCTTTAAAAATGTCAATATTTTACAAGATACAAGGTCATTTCTTAAATATTGACATTTTTAAAGATATAAGCGCATCCCGATGTTACACTCATCAAGAGCTTTCATTTGAGTACCCACATGCATTTTTGATATATTTTTCATATATACATATATATAAATATATAAAATATATGAAAAATTGATGTGGGTACTCAAATGGAAGGTCTCAATGAGTGTAACATCAGGATGAGCTTATATCTTTAAAAATGTCAATATTTCACAAGATACAAGGTCATTTCTTAATTATGTATGAAATTAAAAAAAATTTTTTTCTCAAAAATTCCAAATGCGTGTAATCCCTCAAAATAATAAATATTTCAGAGTAACAAACTTACGAATAACTGATAAAACACACTCGCTTGAAATTTCACCTTGACTGTTAATAGCAACAACTTTGTATTTGCCAGCGTCATCGAGAAAAGCTTCATGAATAATTAGAGAGCATCTGTCACCTTGAAATAGCAATTGGAAATCAGCAGACTCTTTAACCGGTTGCTCGTCGTGGTACCAAATTACCTATAAAAAAAAAAATAGTTTACATCCATACTGAATATATTTAATGGAAGATAAATTTCCTTGGATATAATACTCACTTCAGGTTCAGGTTGACCGATAATAACGCAGTCTAGTCTCACAGTATTTCCCTCGAACACTTGTACGTCTTTAAGCGGTAATTGTACACTGGGTTTAATCAGCTCCGGCACTTCAAAAAGTTCCGGCATCTCCGGACTCTTAACTACACCGGTTTGAACCTTAACAGGAACAACTATTTCTTCCTGATTAACGGAGGTTGTTATTTCCTGAGCAGAAGCGTCAGGTATAATGTGACTAACACTCCCTCCCATCTCTTCAGTGTGGCTTTCAATCTGCAATAGAACATCATCAACTCAATAGTATTTTTTTTTTATTTTTTTTTCCAACATTTTTAAGTTTATTTTTTTATTTTTATTTTTTTTTTATAATTTTTTTATTTTTATTTTATATTCTTCTTACTAGTCTTTTAATGCGAATTGAATCGACTAACTACTTCTTCTATTCTCGAAACTTAATCCAAAGAATTCTATAAATAATCATCAGCCAGACGATTATTTTTTTCTTAATTTATTTTAATTTAAAAATAAAAAAAATTTATAACTTACTTTTATTATTCGTGACTCTTGAATAATTTTCTGCTCCTTAATAAAACTGACCTTGGAAATAATTTTATTACTTTCTTCTAGTAATTCTGGAGTAGAACTGGATATTCCGTTCGACTGAATAACTTCCACTGTTTTCTTTTCATCTATTTCGGCTAATTTAAAAATAGTTTTTTTTTTTAGGGAGCGATAAACTTTATTTCATCATTTTAAAAAAAGAATTAATATTTTATTAAGTTTTTTATAAATTTACTTACCTTCGACTAGTAAGTTTGCTGAAGTAGACGCTTGTCCTAGTTTATTAGTTGCTTTACACGTGTAAACACCGCTGTCATCTGGTAATACTTCAATGAACTTCAATAGAGCCTCGCCGTTGTTGTAAGTTATCGCGTAATCGGGAGAAGAATCTTCTATATTGATGTTATCTTTGAACCACTGGACTGTTGGAAGAGGATTACCGGTCACTCTACACGACAAGAAATGAGGAGATCCTTTCTTGGCAACTGATCCCAGCAACTCTTTTATGAAGGTAGGAGGACTTAGTTGTTGCTCCGGTGCTGTTTCTGTAATATTTTTTTTTAGTTCATTTTCATTTTAATAGAAATTTTATTTTATTAAATAATGGCTTTTATTAAATTGCACTGTACTTTCTTAAATACTGACGTTTTTTAAGATATAAGCTCATCCTGATGTTACACTCATCAAGACCTTTCATTTGAGTACCCACATCAATTTTTCATATATTTTTCATATATACATATATATATAATATATATGATATATATAAATGTATGAAAAGTGCATGTGGGTACTCTAATGAAAGGTCTCGATGAGTGTAACATCATAATGGACTTATATTTATGAAAATGTTAAGAATTAAGGAATGACTGTTGCATTTTGTTAACTAATGACATTTTTAAAGATATAAGCTCATTCCAATGTTACACTCATCAAGAGCTTTCATTTGAGTACCCACATGCATTTTTGATATATTTTTCATATATACATATATATAAATATATAAAATATATGAAAAGTGCATGTAGGTACTCAAATGAAAGGTCGCGATAAGTGTAACATCGGGATGAGCTTATATCTTTAAAAATGTCAATAGCTGACAAAATAGCAAGGTCAGTTCTTAATTATTGACATTTTTAAAGATATAAGCTCATTTTGACGTTACACTCATCAAGAGCTTTCATTTGAGTACCCACATGGATTTTTCATATATTTTTCATATATACATATATATAATATATATAAATATATAAAATATATGAAAAATTGATGTGGGTACTCAAATGAAAGGTCTCGATAAGTGTAACATCGGGATGAGCTTATATCTTAAAAAATGTCAATAATTCTCAAGATACAAGGTCATTTCTTTATTATGAATCTAGAGATAATTTTTAAATGCAGCCGAAATATCACAATAAATTTAGTATCAATGAAAATGCTCTCAAATGCTATAAAAGCAATTAAAAAAAAATATTTTTCTAGAAGTACCTGCTAATTTTCATCATGAATAATATAACAGTACCTTTAATCTTAAGAATAGCTCCAGTTTCAGCGAATCCCGCGGTATTAAAAGCTTTGCACATAAACCTAGCAGAATCCTCAGCAAAAGTTTCCTCGATAGTCAATATACATTGACCGGTTTCTTCATCATAACTGGTTAAGTAATCCGGATTATTAAGTATCGAGATTCCGTCTTTATACCATATAATTTCGGGCTTGGGTTTTCCGTGCTCTAGTTTACATTGAAAGATGAATCTATTGCCTTCCTCAATAGTCGAGTCATTCAGCGGGACAATAAACTTAGGTGGCTCGGGTAAAACAAGTTCTTGAGTATCTTTTTTTATATCTTTAGTGGATTCTTCAGATGGATTGTAAACATACGGCATGAGAACCGGTAAATCTTCCTCAACTTCTGTCTGTAAATGACAAATAAAAATTAATTTTCATAATAAAAAAATTTTAATTTAAAAGGAATGAAAAATGAGCAACTTTCTTATATTGAACAATTAATTCTAACTCATTGTTCTAGCTAATTACCTTTTGTAGAATAATTATTTCTTTAGTAGTTACAGCTGATGTTACGGTTTCTTCCACTACCTTTTGCTCCTCTTCCGTTTGTGCAAATACAGAACTTTTTAACGCATGTTCTTGTTTCTTCTTCTCCTCCATCATAGTCTCTACTTTTTTACGCTCAATTTCAGCCTCGTAAGCAGCCTGAGCTTCTGCTCTAGCAGCATTTAATTTCCGTAATTCCTCTTCTTTCTCGCGTTTTTTCTCTTCGAAAATATCCGCGGAGTTTTTCAAGTTCTGCGCTAATGTACGTAATTCAGATGTTATCACTGCAAACGAGTCGAGGGTTTCGCGATTTTCTACAACCACTTCGTTGAACTGCGGCAGCCGATCAGTACCGAAGATTCTCGTGGATAAATCACGGATTTTCTCAATACGCTGTTCTTGAAGTTCTTCACCCGGCTTTAAGTAGCCTTCGATCCCTGTCAGGCATTCCTGCACTTCTTCTGGGGTCTTTGCTGATGATGATTTTCTAGCTATTACAATCATCAACTTATTTCCGTCTCGGTACCAATTTTTAGCCTCCTCTAGAAGTCTGAAGTACTCAATGCTAGAATTTATTCGTTCTCGAGTCGATTCGGACAATCGTTTTAATTCATCCCAACGCTCTTGAAGTTTTAAAAGCTCACGATTTATCATCGGTGCAGATTCTGGTGTTGTTAGTTCAAAATTATTCTCCGTTGATTTTATAAATACTTTTATTCTTTCTTCTAAAATCTAAAAAAAAAAATTTGCTTCATTATGTTAAATTGCACTGTAATTTCTTAAATATTGACCTTTTTAAAGATATAAGCTCATCTCGATGTTATACTCATCAAGACCTTTCATTTGAGTACCCACATGTATTTTTTATATATTTTTCATATATACATGTATATAATATATATAAATATATAAAATATATGAAAAATTAATGTGGGTACTCATATGAAAGGTCTTGATGAATGTAATATCGGGATGAGCTTATATCTTTAAAAATGTCAATATTTCACAAGATAAAAGGTCATTTCTTAATTATTGACATTTTTAAAGATGTAAGCTCACTCCGATATTACAATCATTGAGACCTTTCATTTGAGTACCCACATCAATTTTTCATATATTTTTCATAAATACATATATATAATATACATAAATATATAAAATATATAAAAAATTGATGTAGGTATTCAAATGAAAGGTCTCGATGAGTGTAACATCGGGATGAGTTTATATGTTTAAAAATGTCAATAGTTTAGAAGATACAAGGTCATTTCTTAATTCTTAATTCACATAAAATTAAATTACTCTTTTTAATATTTTATTAAATATTCTTAAATATTCTAGCCATTAAAAAAATTAATAACTCTCATAAATATATGTAAAATAAATAAAATAAATACCGTAACAGTTTTTTCGAAATGCAAAAATGCTGAAGAAGCAGCTTCAGCGGCTGGCAATGAGTCGCCAGTAAAACGATGCCCTGACTCAGCACTGCCAGCTAATTGATCACTTAAATGCATAAGATCAGCATCAATACGATCCAAATCATCAGCAAAATTACAAAACAGCAAACGTTTATCAAACTTAAACTTGGCTTCCATACAAGCGTTCTCCCAGTTAGCAGAAGTAATATTAAAAACTAGATTTAATTTTTCTGTTTCTTGCACTGCAGCTTCTGCGGGCTCTTGGGTTCGGATTCTCGATATAACTTGATCAATCGCCGGCTCAACATTTTTAAGTACTTCTGTTATCGCGTCGCGTATTTTATTTATTGTTTCCGCTTTCATTCGTACTTCATCTCGTCCAGATTCTGTAAGAAATCCAGATGATTGCTCTAAATTTTTACGAATCTCATTTACTTCCTCCGTTTTATTTTCAATCTAAAAAAAAGATGTATTAAATAAAATGTTTCTCTAATTAAATTAAGACAATTTGTTATTAAAATTTAATTATAAATAATTTACCTGAACTAGATCATCAAAAATAGAAATTAATGATTCAAGAAGATTTTGATAATCTGTCGCAGTCGTTCGAAGATGCTCGTAAACTTTTGATAATTTTTCTTTTATTCGTTCGCTTACATTATCATCTGTTGAATAAAAAAAATATGAAATAATAAAATCTTTCTAAAGATATAAGCTCATTCTGACGTTACACTCATCAAGAGCTTTCATTTGAGTACCCACATGCATTTTTCATATATTTTTCATATATACATATATATATATATATATATATAATATATATAAATATATAAAATATATCAAAAAATTGATGTGGGTACTCAAATGAAAGGTCTTGATGAGTGTAACATCGGGATGAGCTTATATCTTTAAAAATGTCAATAGTTCACAAATATAATGCAATAAAATATATCAAAAATTGATGTGGGTACTCAAATGAAAGGTCTTGATGAGTGTAACATCGGGATGAGCTTATATCTTTAAAAATGTCAATAGCTGACAAAATAACAAGGTCAGTTCTTAATTATTGACATTTTTAAAGATATAAGCTCATCCTGATCTTACACTCATCAAGAGCTTTCATTTGAGTACCCACATGCATTTTTGATATATTTTTCATACATACATATATAATATACATAAATATATAAAATATATGAAAAATTGATGTGGGTACTCAAATGAAAGGTCTCGATGAGTGTAATGTCGGGATGAGCTTATATCTTTAAAAATATGTAATAATAATAGTAATTTCTAAAATAAATGAGCAACCTCCATTAGTGAAGCTCTCAACGCTCTTGATTCTGGCATCTAACTCAGTAACAGCCTTCTTTAACTCCGGAAGAATACCCAATTGCGTACTTTCAAGGTCTTGAAGAATAACAGAAGGTTTAATAGACTCAGAAGTGATGATAGGGTAAAGCTGTTCACCAAACTTGGTTGCCCATGCTAATGTTTTAGTAGTTTCTTCAAATCGTCTCTCTTGTTCAATTCTCCGCTCCCTTGTTGTAACAACAGAAGTCTGCCAGTTCTCCCATGATTCAGTCACGGTTAGTTGCCTGTTAGCGAAGCGTTCCAAGGTCGTTTCTACGCACAACCGTGCACGCAGGATGTCCAAGTACGCATCAGTGCACTGAAATTTACCGAAGATGTTAATTAACTTACATTTAACTTTAACTAACTTAACAACACCATCAAACTTATTATTCAACTAATAAAAAAACATAATAATAATAATAAAAATTACCCTATCAGCTTCAGCTAAAAATGCAGATCCAGCACTAGTCAGTCTCATATAAAGCGGCCGCAATTCATTCCACCGTTTTTCTAAATCATCTATTCTTCCCTCTTCAGCATTATCCGAATGTTTCTTGAATTCACTCTCAACTTCATCGAGTTCTTTCCCCAGAGCAACAGCTGCTTCATGAAAATCGACATACAAAGCACTGAGATGAAGTCTTGCTTCAACAGTATGCCGGCAATCTAACCAAGAGTCTCTCAGAGCATCAACACGATCTTCAATGTGTTTCTTCTGAGCAATTCGCTGTCTCTCATCAGTTATTTCCATAATTGTTCCCGATAAAACTGACAGTGCTTCGTCAATTTCATCCCCGCGCTTCCCCAAGTCCTCTAACAATTGGCAGTGCATCTTATAAAAGTCCTGAGCCATCGGCAAATCACTTCCCATGTCCTGGTGGCCGCGAAGAAATGCATCGGCAATACCCGTCAGCCATGATCTTAACTCTTCGTATTTTTCGAAGAAAATCGCCAGGCCTTTTGAGATCCTCAGGTTTTCTTCTTTATGCGCGGTACACCGCTCAAGAAGACGTATCTTCCGGTTTTCTAACTCTTCGACGGTTCGCTTCACTCCCTTAAATAATAAATAATTAACAGTTATGGTTATGAGAAACTATAATTCATTTTTCAATTTAATATTTAGTCCCTGAAAAATTTAGAATTTAAAATGACTATACTTTCTGGTCTTTTAACAGTGTACTTTCTTAACAATTGACATTTTTAAAGATATAAGCTCATCCCGATGTTACACTCGTCAAGACCTTTCATTTGAGTACCCACATGCATTTTGATATATTTTATATATATTATATGTATA